GGGGGGGGGGGGGGTGTCAGTATGCAAACCGCATGACACAGGCCTCTGGAGAAGTTTGGTATCTCCCTGAGCATGTTTCAGTATCGAACACTAAGATCCTAGCCTTGGCTTAGATCATTAAGAATATATGCTGCTTTTCTGAGCTCTGAGTCTGATACATCCAGCTTTAGGAGAACTTCTGCACCCTCTCTGCCATTTACTCTGATGAAATCTTTGAGATTTCTCTATTTCTGTCTTCCTGCTATCCTGCCTGGATTCACTGCTCCATTTTTGTCTCTGATGAGTTTTTTTATTTGGGTGGGGGGGAGGGAAATACTTTTATAAGAATGGTTAGCAAAAGTACTGCAGATTTCAGCACACTTCCTCCTCTGAACGACAGAACAGTGTGCAAGAGAAGGCTCATGATGTGTACAAACATGCCCAGAAATAAAGAGAAAAAAAAAAAAACAACAAAACAACATGGAAAGTAAAAGCAAGACAAAAAAGGGCGAGGGTTTGTGTTAGTGTTAAAGGAAGGTGAAAACGCTTCCTGGCAACATCTGAGAATCATTTGCAGCAACCGATCCATGAGCTTTAGTGAGTAGAGAATGTTTTTAAATCCTCCCCCACCCCCTTTGTTAATCTTTACCAGGTAGCAGGCCCTTTAATGTGATTCGTATGGCTTTCTTGGGGATGTGTAAAATATTTCCATTTTGAAAAATAAGAGTTTTGAAACGGCTCTAAGATTTAAGTTCCTAAGTCCGGTTGTAAGTCTGTGGTCTTCTCCTTTTTAAAATTTGGTGATAATAATAGTCTTCAGACTGTTGTGCAAAAGGCGGCGTGTCTCAGTAGAGGGAACGATGAACATCTGGCTTCACAGCCTCACGGCCTCTCGCTTGGAGTAGGAAATTCACGTGCCTGTTTGAAAGCGTCCGCATGAATGAAGCTCAGGTAATAAAGACGTACATAATTCAGAAACACTGAAAGATGGGGTTTTTTTTTAGACTTAAATATCCTAAGCAACATCAGACAATGTAAAAGAGCTATTAATTGTGATGCATTAGTCTTATTGCACTTCAAAGACTTTAAGAGGTAGCCTGGAAAAGTTCCGATTTGGCTTACCTTTAAGCACACCCAAAATACTGGGCAACATTTTTCGCTGGTTTTGAGTGGCTGAGGAGGCTGTTTCCTAAGACTTTCAAGCACATTTGGGATTTTAGGTCATCTGGGGCACGTCTCCACTGTGCAATGCCAAATGGCTCCGAGCGATCCAATTTTCAACACGACAGAGAAAGATTAACTCAGATGCTGAGAGCAATATATGTCTGTTAGTGTTGCTCTGCACTGATTCTACTCCACCTAGCTTCAGGGCTAGATTATTTGGTTCTGGTTTAGGAAGCTCTGCATCACGTTCCCTTTCTTGGTACAGACATAATTTGATCGTTTTACAAAATCCAATCTAGCATATTACTACATGGCTTCATTTATACCCGTCAAAAATGCATCACGGACGTCCGTGAGCAGATATGAATTACTACAACTTGTACTTAGGAGAGACCCTAAGCAGAGTTTCTAATCCAGGCTGCCTCACAAGCCTAAGTTGTCTCCTGTGTTTTACAGACTACTATAAAATCAGAGTGGACTTTGCCACATAGATGCCTGTGTGACGGTCCGTGACTCTTGCCAGCACCAACAAAATCTAAAAGTGGTGCCAGCAAAACAGCATTTTTGAAATACGATGACTGGCTGATGACAACAGCAGAGAGTGGAATCAACTCAGTAGCCTTTGATTCATGAACTCTTTAGCCCCTTTTAGAATCCCAGGATGTTTGTGAGTATTTTCAAGGAACTCCAGTTTGAATCAGTCAATAAGAAAACAGTCTAAGCCTAATGTTGTTTTTTTATTTATTTAAGATTATATTGGCTTCTGATTACAGTTTGCTTCATTTTCACACCTCACATTATGAGGTTCTTAAGAAAAAAAACAACCCTCAACGTTTTCCAGTTTTTGTTTGTTGTTAAATATGACTTATAAAATGTTAAGTCAAGAGTCTTCAATAGACTAGGCTACACTGTTTGTTTAAAGCTATGAGTAAAGCAAGTCATATGAATGTTTCCAAAGACTGTATTCCAAGAAGTATTTTTGGAAACATTAATGTTGTGTTTTTTAATGAAGGCCACATTCTGAGGCTACGACACCATATGTCACATTCATTTCTGTACTGAAAAAAAAAAAAAGAAAAAAGAAATGGAAACTATGTTTGGCTTTTAAGTGTTTTTGGAATACTGTCTATGCATGCTTGTCATTGTTCCTTGGATGAGAGAAGAGTTCTCGGTCTGTTAATCTAGTCCATCCAATATATATTACACTCTATGGACCTGACTCTCTTCAGCCTTGAAGTGTGTGCAGTCATTTATACTCGGGCAAAGTGAATGAAGACCTGAGGAAAAAGACTACCACTAGGAAACTTTTTTTTTTTTTTTTTAAAGTCATTTTCCATGAATATGTTGGCTTCATTGTAAACCTACATCTGAACTGCTGTCAGCTGAAACCAGCTTAAAAACGGGAAAAGTACTTGTCATTTTTCCGTTGAAAGCTTAACATTTTTGGAAGAATAATTACAGTTTTCCCTCAAAAATATTCGCTTTCTTCCTTCAGAAATATCAGTTAGAAGCATGACATTTGGCAAAAATGTTGGATTGTTCTAGCTGTGTACCCCATCACTTCTGCCTTGTCAGTGCTTTGTGTGTTAGCGGTTGGGATATGGTGGAGTGAGCTGGAGACCTGCAGGAAAAGGCATTTGCCTTTCATAAGCATCATAAGCATCCTGTAAGTGATTACTTCAGCTGAGACTTTCCTTTCTTACTGGATTCCAGTTGATGAGGTCTCAGTTTCTAACATAAGTTCTTGTTATTAGTCGCTAACCGTATAGCCTAGCACTTTGTGCTGCTGGAGTTCATATGGTTGCAATCTGCAGGCATCCATTTTTTCCCCTGATCTGACAGAGGAATCTCCTAATTCACATCACTTCCTAAATTTGTGTCACCCACAAATTTTATTAACATACTGCGTGTTTGTTTCAAACTCATTAATAAAAATTGAAATAACTTTTTGGCAGCTGGATTTTTTTGTTTTGTTTTGTTTTAAGGAATGATTTGAGAGGGTTTCCAGGACCTGAGAGAGGTTTCTTTTTCATTTGAAATGTAAATACTTTGCAACAAATTGAACAAATATGTCTCTGTAGCACTAGCCCAGTAAAGTTCAATTCCATGACCAGGTTTTTCTGGGCAATACTGAAACACGAATAATGATGAGTGATTGTGTGTTTTATACGTTTTCTGGTTAAAACATGTTAGCACTGAGCTTGCCTGCCCATGCTACTGAAGTCTCATGTCTGAATGAGGGTGTTTTCTTAGGCATTTCTTCTAATGGAGGAAAACAAACAATTATGCAACAAATACTACCTCAAATATTTGGCTAACTTTAAGACCGTTCGTGTCATTCTCATGACTGTTCATGAGAGCCCATCCTGATTTGAATGCTACTTCACCAGAACATTAGAAGAGATACTCACAGCGGGTTCACCACAACGTTTTTTGATTTCTGTTTTCATCTACGTACCAAATTTTGGTATCGATATGGACATTTCTAATGAGTTGAATTTCTAGCCGCCTCATATTTCCAGGCCTAAGTTTTTGAGCTATGTTGTGCAATAAATGTCAGAGTCTGTACACTTCAGGAAATTGTTCATGATGGCCGCAGAGTGAATTGTATTTAGATTTGGTGTTACACAGTTCTGGCATAGGAAATTAAACCAAAAATAAACTTTTTCTTTTATTTCATAGATTTCCAATCAACAAAGAAAACAAATAGCCCCTGGGACCGCAAGTGTGTTCTGTAAACTGATGCCACAAGGCAGGTATGAGAAAGATGACTGAACAGAGTGGCCGCTATAGGCCTGTAAACATACAGGGAAATAAGATCAGTTACCAAGGCACTTGTCAAGAAAGCCCTGAGATGGGGATGAAAAGATTGCAGAATCGATTTCTCCACAAGGATGGCAGCTGCAATGTGTACTTCAAACACATCTTTGGGGAATGGGAGAGCTATGTAGTGGACATATTTACCACACTGGTGGACATCAAGTGGCGCCATATGTTTGTGATATTCTCGTTGTCGTATATTCTTTCATGGCTGTTCTTCGGACTAGTCTTCTGGCTGATAGCAATCCAACACGGAGATTTATTCAATGATGAAGAAATAACCCCCTGTGTGGCAAATGTCCACAGCTTCACAGGAGCGTTCCTATTCTCCCTCGAAACCCAAACGACCATCGGTTATGGTTACCGCTGTGTTACAGAAGAGTGCTCTCTTGCAATCCTCATGGTTATCCTACAGTCAGTATTAAGCTGCATTATTGACACCTTCATAATCGGAGCAGCCTTGGCTAAAATGGCCACAGCTCGAAAACGAGCTCAAACCATTCGTTTCAGCTACTATGCTGTAGTTGGCTTAAGGGATGATAAATTCTGCCTCATGTGGCGCATCGGTGATTTCCGGCCGAATCACATGGTTGAGGGCTCGGTACGAGCTCAGCTCCTGCGCTACAAGGAAGACAAGGAGGGGAGAATGACAATGGAATACAAGGACTTGAAGTTGCTAAACGACCAGATCATACTTGTTACACCAGTGACAGTCGTGCATGAAATTGATAGCGAGAGCCCCTTGTATGGTCTAGACCGGAAAGCTCTGGCCAAGGACAACTTTGAAATCTTGGTCACGTTTGTCTACACAGGTGATTCAACAGGAACTTCACATCAGTCGAGAAGCTCATATGTCCCCAGAGAGATTCTCTGGGGCCACAGGTTTAATGATGTCTTACACGTAAAGAAAAAATACTATAAGGTGGATTGCTTACAGTTTGAAGAAACCACAGAAGTTTATGCTCCTCACTGCAGTGCCATGCAACTGGATCGGAAGGAGCAAGAATGGAACCGAACCGAGAAGACACGGGAAAAAGAAGCAGAGACGTCGGCACTGGAGATCAAGTCATTTAGTACTAACCAAAAGTCATTTAGTGCCATTGCTCTCATCACTAGTTGTGAAGATCCAGAAGACCCATTGACAGCTGTCAATCAGCCTTCTGGAGAAATTTCTTATCGGAAAGCAGCTGTGACCTTAAGTAGGCTATCAATAGAGTCCCAAATCTAGCTTGTTACTGCAATTAAAATCACTTCCAAGTTGTCATAGCATAGCTTTTAGAATATAAACAATGAACTCATATGCACAAGTATTTATATTATAAACCTCACTGACAGCCTGCCCACATTGTAATACACTGCTGAGCTGCTAGAAGGAGCTTCTTACTGGTTAGTGTGGATATCAGTAACAGATTAGTGTTGGCACAGGAAAATAGCATACATTTGGGTTGACTAGACAGCTACCGGACTTGAGCAAACTTACTGTAAACTTTATTACCCTGCCGGGACCGGTGTTGGACATACCCAGAGATAACAATCTAGGCAGGGAACAAAACCAGTGTGCCCTCTAGGGCAGGCTTTTCAAAGCTGCCTAACGGATTGGGAAGCCAGTCCCTCTAGGAGGCTCTGAAACTCCCCCACCATCATGTCAAAAACCCTGCACCTCCCCGGCAGTTCAGAGAACCCCCATCCCGGGGTTACGCTGGCGAATCTGTGGGGCTGTTGGTTGTAGGAGGGAGTGAACTGGTAAGAATCACTGAACCCAGTATTACTGGGTAGCTTTGGAAGCCTGCTTACACCCTGCCTAGTCCTGCGGGATCCACGGTGGGATCCTGGGGAGCTTTTCTCATTTCCTAGTGGTGAGCCATTCCCAGAACTGCCACTCCCTCAGCAGCTTGAGGTCTGCGGTGGGTCAGCTGGCTGGGGGCTGCGCGCAGGTTGTGTTACGTGGCTCTGACCGGCTGGGAGGGCTGGGGCTGGCCAAACTGGCTCCTTCGCGTGGCTCGGAAATCAAAAGGAGACCTCCAGTTTGAAATCGAAATCCACAAAATCACGTTGAGCCTCACAGAGAAGATCGTGTTTTTAGAACGAGCTGTGCAATATTTTAAATCGAAACGTCTTTCATTTCAGAATGTCAGCCTTGCTTTTCTTGTTAGTGCATTATACTTCTTCAAAAAGACAAAAATCAATGTGAGGACCAAACAGTGTGATTTTGGCAAAATTAAATTATTTTTATTCATCTGAAATGACTGTGTAAAAATGATCCTGCACAGAGAAATTCAACATACTCAGCTATCAGCTCGATTTGGAAAAAAAAACCAAAGTGTTAATGTTTTGAAGTTGTCTGTGACATGGAAGTTCCGTGCTCTGCACATCTCTGTAATTATTCAGTAAGCAATATCTCATCATGCTTTTTTCCCCTGATGATTACGGTTAATTTGCATTGTGTTTAATTATCATGCTAACGTAAAAATAATTATGTCTGAATTTGTGGTTGCCTAAAATGGGATTTATCTCACCTGACCTCAGCCATCAAGAAAATAAGTGTTTGCCTACTAGTCGAGGCTCTCTGTGGTTACTAGAACTCTTCTTCTGTCTTCACAGAGGAGCTCCTCCCATCTGACTCCGGCTTTTTAGGACGCTGAAGGCAATAGGATGTGTTCATCCTGGAAGTGTTCATCCCTCTCCATTTATTGTTGAAGGAGATGAGATGAGATGACTGTTGTGGAAATGCTCGCTAACTTTAGGCTGCTAAAATTAGGTCTGACGAGTCATTCACATCATTCTGACTAATTAAAAGTTTTTATGAGCTCATCACATTTAATGAAGAAAAATAGCATGCTGATTTTTTTTTTTTCCCTGAAATTTACTCCATATAGTAGTATCGCTGCATTATCTTAATATATTTGCATTTCTCTTTTGCTAGCACTTGTCTTTGGATAGATGTGATTGCTTTAGGTAAAGGCAAGCATATTAACAAGCCTAGGGGGAGGCGGTTATTCCAAAGCTCATTAATTAGCCTATTTTATATGCTGAATCATCAGCAGCATCCATCTCCAACTGCAGTAGAAAACAGCTTATTGTATCCTGGATCTGAGCACTGGCAGGCTTTGGGGAAACAGTCTAGAAAATGGGAAGGAATGTAGAAAAATGTGTAAGGGACTCGGTACTTATGTGGTGTCGGAAAAAATGCCATCCAGATTGTATAAAGTAGAACACAGCCTTCAAGACATGTGAAGTAATCCTTCCACACTCCTCTGTCCTTGAAAGATCTTGGCCGGGTTACTTTATTCAATGCTGGGCACCACACTTTGGGAAAGAGATGGAGCAATCTGAAGATAATCCGGGGATCTAGAAAACATCTCAGTGAGGAAGTAGGGAAAGAGCTCAAGGTCTTTCAGTCTAAAAAAGGAGTTTGGAAACAAGGAAACAGTTCTCCAACACCACAACTGCAATTCAGGAGAAAGGGACAATCTGTTGCCTTGTATCTGGAGGATAGGGCAGGAAAACATGGGCTTAAACTGAAGCCAAAGAGATTGAAGTTATTTAGGAAACTGTCACAAAGAAGGTGAAGCACTGGCAGATCGGTGGGGTGTGTGATCTCGGCGGCAGCGGTGGCCCTCAGGAGCCTGTTGGAGAAAATGGCTGTCAGGAGTGCTACAGAATGGCCAGCCTCGCCTTGAACTTTCAACCCTGTTTTTCTGTGATCCTATGATTTTCAGACAAGGGGAATGTCTGACTTCAAATCCGCTCAACTGGCCGCTTTACAAGTAAATGCACACGTGTGAGTATTTGCTTAATCAAAATCCCCAAAATAGCTTCGAGAGGTACGTATTTCAGGTGCTGCTTGTAAGAGTAGTTTCCCCTGCTAAGCTGTGAATCGCAGCTGCCTTTCCCTCTCCAAGCTCTTGCAGTGAAAAAAAATTCTTTCGGAATGACTTTCTTGTAAGTCAAAGTACCAGCAGTCTGACTGAGCGTTTTGTCACATGCTTCTTGGTACAGATAGATATAAATACGTGAGCATGTATAGTAAAGTATGCTTTGGCATCTAAGTCAACCACTAACTGATGAGGGTCAGGAAGAAACTTCTCTCCTGGGCATGTTAATTCATAACAGGCTACTATACAGTTTCTTCTACTTTTATCTACAGCATCTGATACCAGCCGGTGCTGGAGACAGGATACTGGTTGAACCACTGGTCTCAAACAGTCTGGCTTTTTCTGGGTTTCTCTGTTTGATATTTTAATTATATTTATCCCAGTATAAAAACTATGTGTATTAATGTATAGTAAAGCACGCACTGCATTTTTATGAATAAAGAACATGCCTCCACCACACACCTTGTGAGAGCACATTTTACTTTTCTTCCCATTCAGCCACAGTTTTAACCTTTTGTATCTTACGCACTAAGAGGACAGGGAAAGAATTACAAGGTGCAGAGTAGTCTTTTTGACTTTTAAAGACGCCAAATCACAAGCAAACCCACAAAGTTATAAATAAATACATTCTGTGGAAGCTTGGTAGCATGAACTCTTGTTTGTTTGAAGGAATGAGCCAAACAAAGCCCGGCTCAGGGACGCGCACACACGCTCCTGCACGGCAGCTGCATCCAGAGCTTTCTTACTTAACCTGCACCTTCCTCACCTGGTGAGGGATCTTTGCGAGCACCAAGTGGATAAGACAGGAATGGACAGAGGTGCAGGAGGGATACACAAGCACACAAAATGCGCAGGCTCCTTCTGTAACATAATTTAGGTGGGGTCTGACTGCGCTCTTGGTGGAACCAGTTCTTACGCCCTCCTTGCCTTAGGAGAGGAACCAGGAAAGAGTTGTAGTACACAGCAGCTTTGGGTAAGTAGGAGGGAGAATTTCCTCGCCCATCTGCTCTTTCTAGATGAGGATGTTTCGCAAGGATTTCCACTTGGTTTTGTTCATCTCCATTGCAGAGCTGAGCGATGCAAAGGCAAGCAGGACTCGGAAACCCAGCAGAAGTAACAACGCAGGTGTCCTCAGCAGAAACACAGACCTAACCCCTGAGTCATCCCGCTGGAAGGGATACAAGTGCCCCCCAGTCCAGCAGCAAGTGTCTGGCTGCAATCGGGGCTGTTCGGTGTGTTGGGAGCTGAAGAGAAACACCAGTACCCTCCCGCTCTGCCTGAGCATTGCACGCGTGCCCCGGGTCCTCGGCACAAAGCCAGTGCTTTGGGTTGAAGTTCAGCAGCTTCTTCCCAGCCAACCAAGAAGCAGCAACTGGTGTTTCTTTCTGCCTCAGCTGAAAGTTGCTCACCCCGTTCCCAGCTTTTCCACCAAATTTACCAGATGAAGCAGAATTTTAACAACAAAGAGGAAATACAAACCACTTTGCATTGGACTCCTGAATCATGATTATAGCTGCGCCTTGGTTATTTTCTCTTGGAAAGTAGCACTATTGTTCTGGGTCAAGATTAGTTTATGTCAAAGGGCATATAATAAGAGATTATTATATAATTTATTTTTCCAGCTTTGCCTACCACCGTTCATTAAGGCGGCTGGCATTTCCTTCCCCGTTATCATGTATCATTTAGCACATATTTTCTGTGAAGCTGATTTTCAGATGTGGGGCGTAATCAATCCCCTTGTTTATCCCTTGTTTCTTACACGCTGTGCAGGAGGTCTGACTTCAGCTGCCTACCTAAGGAGAAGCATTACAGTTACACAGTTATGCTCGCTTCAAGAAATAACAGGTACCTTTCAGGGGATCGGAAGTGTTTGCGTGGGAAGAAACGCCGGCCGTCGCCAAGCGTCAGGTGGAAAAGCGGTGCTACAACCACGGCACAGGCGGAGAACCCGTTGTCAGGCAGTTCCTGGTGTTGCCTGCCCATCCTTGCGACCGGGGCGGGGGGTGTCAGAGCTTCCTCCGGCTGCCCCGCTCAGGCACCGCAGGATAAACCAAACTCCGAAAGAAAATGATTTCGGTCTAAAAAACTGATTTGACATCTGCCCCGTCCAGCTGATTTATTCTATATCATTCCTCTTTATATATATATAGAAGCAAAAGTTGAGAGGTGGCTTGATTTGCCAGCTTCGGTATATATAGCCAGGCAGAACTGGCTACGCTCCACTAGGAACTTTTCAAATAGGGCAATGATCTATTTGTGGCCAAAGATACTTACTTCAAGAGGTATCAGTGACAAGAAGCAAAAAAACCTGCTTGTTTGTTTGGACCGGGGAACATGTGTGCGTGTAGAAAGGCAACGTTAACGTTTATTATGTAAAACTACACACAGAAGGGCTCCAAAATAGAAATGCCTTAATAATTATCTCATATTCAGTGCCATGTCCACTTCTGAATGCACATTTTCCATTGAACAGCTTCGTGCGTTCTCTCACGCATGGGAGTAGCTCCAATTAAACATCTGCTGAACCATCTATATCATCATCCTTCTTCACATCCTTTCTTCAGAGTCTCCTCCGCGGCGGCGTGTGTAGGAAGCCCCACAACTGTCAGGCAGCTGGTCTGCTGCGACTACTGGGCATTGTATTTGTTCCTCGTGTTTCCCCATCTTTGATCACAGGGTGTCTCTCAGACTTGCCTGACAGGGGAGGGACTATTTTTGGTCTGATGTTCGTTCGGCACGATTCCTGCTCGATCCAGGTGCCAAAATGAGCTGACGGCCTTTATGTGACCGTTGTACAAAACAGCACTGGAGAGGAGACTGTCCCAAACCCTCCCCATTGCCACTGCTCGGTACCGTGGCTTGGTGAAGCGTCCGCATTGGGTGCTTCTACCACAAATTTCGACTGATAACTACCTCATTGTGATAGCTATGTCCTAAATGGGGCATGAAAAAATAGGAATTATTCATAAATGGGTAGGTCTCTCTTTCCGATCTCCAAGAGGAAATCAAAAAAGACCCTGGTGGGTGTACCCAAGGGGGAAACCTTCCTTGCCCACCCAGGTCAAGGGCCTTACTCATGTTAAGTAAATGTGACCCCACCAATTTCAATGGGACAGCTTCCAGAGTGACCTGTGGTAGGATGTGAGTCGGGAAGCAAAATTTGATAAGTACTTTATTGCTGTTCTTGGAATTACTCACCGTATATACTGACTAAAACCTCTTCTCTTCGGTGATCACTTTTTCCATAGGCAAAAAAATCCACCTTTCTTTTGCCGGTTGTTTCATTCGAGAGGGTACAGCAGAGTGCCAGTCCTGAGTTGGCACCACTCTGTTGGAGGGCCCATAGTGCTTTGCCTCACGGGGTCATCTTTCTCTTTCCTCTCATTTTATCCTTCTTTTTGGAAAAGTACCAGGTGAAGCCATCAAATACAGTTCTTCACAGTCACACAAAATACCAACCCTGCGTCCCTTTACATACCACCAGCCACAAGCCGTTTCCCAGAACCCTCCAGCAAACCTACGGCTGAGAGTACAGAAGACCAAAACCCACAGTTTTCCTTTGATATGGTACCAAAGATGTGGAGGGATCATTTGGAAACCCTTACGCTTGGGTGTAAGTTGGGCGTGAAGCTCTAGCAGGGGAACTCAGAGCAGAGTGGAAGTGTCGCATGTGAGTGTGTGTCTGCACATGTGGATGTGGGACGGAAATAGCTCCCATCACTTTCCTTACGTTAGCCTCAATAAAAGGGGCTGGTGCCTGCCAATTCCGTCTCAAGTTTCATCCCTCTGAAATATGTGCACTTTCACCAGCTGTACATTTGGCCCAGGGTAATTACTATAGTGCTAATTTTACCTGAGATGATGAAAGCGCTGGAACAGCCTAACCATATAAAGGGAGGAGATACATACAGCTGATTCACTACTCTGGGTCCTTTTTTGAGCAAAAGAAGTCATGACTTCGACTTGTGGATTTGCTCCTTAGGGAGGCTTCTTCTTACAAGAGTTAGCTGAAACACAACTGAGGCTAGAGAAGAGCGAGGTCAAGGGTACTTGTGTGCTGGAACATGAAAGCAGTGAGTACTGAAGTGTTGCCTTGTAGTAAATTACTTTATGCAGATTAAATTACTCAAATAGATCTGCTTCTTTTCTTTTCCCTCCTGTGAGAGAAGTGACTTCCAGACACCAAAAGCACAAAGATGCTTGAAAGTCTTCTATTTCTTTCTGGACCTTCCAAAAAGATTCAAAGTCAATTGACATTTCTAATGAAGATTCAGAACAGAGACTTATTCTATCCAAACCAGTTCAGCTTGAAAAAATTACAGTGAAGTATAGTCAGAGGAAAAGCAATTTCCCAGAGTTTGAAGAGTGTGAATAATGCAAAGCAAACAGCTCTCTGCAGCATTCCCTTGTGCTTTCAAGTATGCTCAACTGTGCACCCATCCTGGCTTCACCTGGACGTTCTGGTGACCGGCACCACAGATGGTGATTAAGGAAAGATGATCTGGTTGGTGATTTCTAACTTCTG